GAGATAGAACAAAAGTAGTGAAATGCCTAATTTCCTTTGCTGAAAAAATAACTTGAAAAATATTGCAAAATATTAACAAGCTCAGTTTATCACGCTTATTGCAATGGTTGGACACAATGCTCTTGAAGGTCTTTTCCAACCATAATGATCCTGAGGCAGCAGCCAGTAACCATTCTCATTTCTACTATACAGTAGATTCTTTAGTCTCTGTTAAGACACTGGCTGACTTAATACCTGGATTCAGTTAGAAATGTCTTGTCCAGCAACAGCTATCTATATAGCCGGTTGGATGAACACATGAGAACAATCTGACACAACGATAATTTAGCTTTTTGGAAGGAGAGAGTATTTGTTGCCTTCAAAGTCCAACAAACAACTTGCCGCAAGGAGGAGAGTTCTAGCACATTGGGACAGACGCTTCCACACCAGGACGAACATCTGTGGCACGTGCAAATAGTATTGTCCGAAACGGAGGCAGGAAACATAGATATCAGAGGGGAAAAATATGACACGCAGCAACTTGTCAGTGGAGTTGGAATCAGTAAGATGAAAAGGGGTAGCTGAACAGCACAGACTGAACATTTCCTAACAGGGTAGTATACAATCTGGTGCCAAATAGGAGCACCATCACAGCTCCTGCATCAGCTTTGTTTAAGAAATAAAAACTTGAGGAGAAAGGAGTGGAGTTCGGGATGTCATAGGGAGACTGATGGTTTACGAAATCTTAGCCAGCTGCTAAAACATGATTTTGCAGAAGGGCTTGTAATCTAAGCCAAGAGTTTCAGAAACTGACTTCACTACCGGGATGTGAAATGGTGGCAATGGGTTAAAAAAAGAAAAAACCACCACCAGCCACAGAGCACAGGGCTCACTCCACAAGGACAAAAGCTGTGGCAGCTCAAAGGGGCGGGCAGGGACTCGCTGTCACCCCCGGGAGGGTGGCTGAAGCTCTGGCCGTGCTGGGTGCTCGCTGCGGTGCCTGGAGCGCGAGGCGCTGCCACATAGCGCTGTCAGCACTGCAGCTGCACTCGCCGAAGCTCATGTCAGAACTGAGGAATTTCAGATTTGGATAAAGAGTCGAAATCACAGCCGACAGCAGGTACAACAGATACCTGCACACTATAATCAAGTGCAAAAAAATGCGTGTCTGTCACCTCCCGGTTAACAGCCCTGCTCTGGCAGGTGCTCGGCTTTCAGCTATCAACTGGCTGAGAATGTCGGAAAATCCTCTACCTGACAAGCCGTCCTTACTTAGAAATCTGGTTTGTGGAGATCTCCTTATGACAGGAAATATGTCAGCCCTGAACAAACTTGTGCTTGGTAGGCAAAAAACAACATTGGCAGATGCCATGCCCCTCATTCTGGGAAACATGTAAGGACAGAGGGCTGGGGAAAAACACACAGAGCACTTGGCTAGCAGGTGCAGGGCTGGACTTGGCATCAGCGGCCAGAATCACCATGCCACTGACTTGCATATATCCCCAGAGCAGCCCAAGAGCTTTAGTTCATCACATTTCCTGAGAGGCTACAGACTTGGCCGATATTGCACTGAATTTAGGGAAAG